AATATTTGTCAAAATACGAATCAATCAGTGGGGATCACAAGAGAGAAAGGAAACCAACGAAATTAAGAGTTCCTGGGTCCTAACTTCTCACAAAGAGGCACACAGTGTACAACGGGATTCTATGGACGAAGCTTTTGTTCGTAAAATGACAGCCAACCGTCCGCATAACTAGAAGTGTGCTTTCCCCTATACCTTGAATTTTGCATTTTAATATTGATTTTCAGGTTCATTTATTCGTTAGCTATTGGAGGTTGTCGCAGTTGACAAGAGCTTTCAATGCCGCACAAACTGTCTTCTTTTATCACTGTTCAAATAAACACAATGTTTCAACATATAGCAGACAGTTACGGCGGACTGATTGAACCATAGTATGGGACGCCGTAAGATTCAATTGAAGTACGGCTTCCATTGTGTTTAGTTTGTTTCTCGTAATCTACATCAAGCACACGCCGCTTAAATGACACTTGGGGTCACTCAGTGAATGCTTAGTTGCATGACTAACAGTTGAGTCATGAAAGATCGGGTACCCAGGCGGAGATGAACTTTCTGTTTGCTGAACAGAGAATCCTAAGTGTTCATCTCTAAAAGATGTTCAGTGGACGCTGTTCGACACATGGCATTAGAGAAGAAAAAGACATTGAGCAAATTGAAAGACACGAAGAAAAAGTACACCATAGTGGAAAAAGGCCCAATTATCGAAGGTGGTTACCACAATTGGAAGTAACCAAATGCTGACTTATTCGGTCAGTAATCGAACAATCAGTGGATTGCCAGAATGCTTCAGCGGAGTAACTATCGATTTTCCCTGGGATCCTCAGAATTAGCAAGCCACGAGCTTCGATTACGATAGGATGTTTTGGTGAACATAGGGCCACAGCCAGAATAACTTTGCCTTAAAAGTATTATGATCATATTTTCGACTCATTAGTTGAGCGAGTAGGGAACAGACAAATAATCCCGACAGGACAACAACCCCCCCCCCCCCGATCTGTTCACAGACGGTGCACTTGAAAAAGGTGTAATAACTCATTAATAAACTCATCTGCATACCGCCTTGGTTTCGACCAACTGAGACATGAGACGGCCTGGTGCATCACATTCAGTCGAGTAAGAACATAAACGAGAGTTTCAGCTGGTTCCCTTCAAAACCTAACTGGTATACACAGGAGTGTATAAGTCGAAACCCGTTCAATTGGGGTTCATTTAGAACACACGTTTGATAAAAACTCGGGGACTGCGCCTAGCTGATGAACCACAAGAAGAGCAAAACCAGTCGTGGGCTGTCGAAGCGTTTTCAGCAAGCTAATGAGTAGTGTATAACCTCTATGCAATTTTTCATATTCTGTTGACGAAACACATTAGTCACAAAGTTACTGAAAACCCATCGCACTCCTCGGGGCTCATCGGACAGATGACATATTTGTTAACACCACCATTCAAACTTCAGGCCTTTGACTGTGTAATTACCAGGTTTTATTCAGACGAAACATTTTGACCAGTCATCAGTAGAACAATATTGCCTGAATTACTAAGAGATGGTTAAAACCAGAAGTTTCACAACAAAATGAAAGAATCCCGCTCTGTGCGCTGGTTGGTGGCCCATGGAAGCAGAGTGAAATCGTTATTCAAGGGGTCACGTGTCCGTATTCTATGCGCCTATGTCAGCACCTGTGTGGATAAGCTTTTCGAGACCCGACCTCATGCTCATCATGAGAAGATAAATTTTAACAGGGAAGAGATATACGCTTGGCTCCTAAATGTGTACCAGTAAATGAGGGAATAAAGGTAAGAACCGATTAAAGACAAAAATGTTTTCACACTTAAAAGTGGATGAAGCATAACGAGTATTACCAAGTAAAAAACTTCGAACGCATTTGGGGTTGTAACCGTACCTTGGAGTGACTGAATTTAAACTGTTGGAGTGATCCGCACTGCGAATGGATCACATTATAGAGGGATTCATTGAACAGAGATAGCCCCATATAAAAGCAAACGACCATGCCTGAAGAAAATCCGCTTTCATATGGTATTACAAGATCTGTACAGATTTTTGTTCTCGCCTGCTCACTATGATACTGATCCGTGGATCGGCTTCGTTCTTTCTGCATTAAGCCGTTGTGTTCTCTGTGTGAACAAAATCAAACCTGTTTTGTGGAATAGATTATGAGAGGAGCAATGGGTCGCAAATGATAAATTGGCAGACATGACCTTAGCAGATCTGTTTCAACACTGACTACTAGCCGTGTAGGAGCATCAGTTACCTTGTGGAACAGCGCGAGAGATTACCAAACACAAGATATCCGGCATCCACAGCTGTAGGGAGTTTCCCAGGATTGACAAATAAAATCTAGACATGATGTATTCTCGAAGAGGCCAAGTTGGTGCTGCTGAAACTCCGTCACTGGAGGACAGTCACCTTATTTTAGGTCACGAGTTCCTCCACATAAGAATTTGGAATTTCGGGGACCGAAGGCCACACTGTGGTCGATGAGAAACGGCACGGATGATTCTAAAGGAACTGGTCCACCTTTTGGATAAACGGACTCGAAAGAGCTGTATTTTCGGAGGTCTGAGATAAGCAGCGTAGTTCATTTTGGATGAAAACTTAGCAACTGAAATCAACGTCTGGAAATATCCCCACACAAACACAGTTAATAGTACTTCCTGTACAGAGAAACAAGTTATGGTCGGTCCTTACAACGAGGCGGATTACTTTTGAGAGCAGTCAGAAGCGTTGAGGTTCTCCTTGCATCTAAAGTAGTGGTGACATCCTCGGTTGGAGAGAAATGAAGATGCATCAAGATCCTAATGGGCTGCTGTGAAAGCTAACCGAATAGGCGTTGTTATTTCACGCCTAAGGCTATGGACTGATCTCGTATTTATGTTGCATTATTCATCTACGGGTAGTATTGACAGTATCATTCAGTGTTCAGTTAAGAGACGTTATGCCATTGGCCAAAAACGCTTTTGACTTTGTAATCTAGATGATCCGTATCAGTAGTTCTCGCTGCCCTCGCGAGTTTAGTTACATCGGTGACACCAGGGGCTAAAGGACCCACAAAAGCGACACCATTGGCAGCGGATAGATAAATTCCAGAGTCCATTGAAGACTCCGTTACACAATTAACGGGTTCAAATGCCAAATGAAAGCCACAGTGGTCCTACGGGGACTACTCACAACCGAAATTTGAAAGTTTACTAAAGCTAACCCGACAATCCCTCCGTCAGGATAGTGAGAACATATGTAAAGGGGCTTACCGAGGCTCGAATGCATGTTGTCACTCAACGACAAATACTTCCGAAGCGAATCGATAAACTGAAGACTGAATTTCAGTATGAGTGCCAAATATGATCAAGTCAAAGAACCAACGGGTCTAAATAAAGCAGAACGGTTTCGGACAACAACATGCATATATCAGAACAGTTTCTCCTCACCGTACCACGTCAAAACTTCTTTCACATACGAGCATGAATGAAGGATTCCAACTTATCCAGCCAGATAAACCGTTTGATACTGTGCTAATGAGCTCAGCCTATAGTATATCAGAAATAAGATTCATTGTTGGGCTGATGAGGGTTCAGGCGTCATCAGAGAATACTCTCTCTCTCGAAAGAAATCGACTATAGATCTCCAACAGCTACTTATATACAGTTCTACCACCGAGTCTCAGTACACGAAGCCTTAGCCACTGGAAAGCCGTCTGCCCCAAAGAATCGCCGAATGCATACGAAAATACCCGATACACTCCACGAGAAAACAGTTAATTAATGGTCATTTGACCACCCGAAGCACAGCGTCGCCAACTGCAGGACATTTGTCCCTCCGTTGAGTCAACGTAATTCAAGCTATACAATCACCTAACCACATCATAACCAACTCCACTTCAAATGTGGGTTTTGAACCCTTGAAAGCTTTATCGAGCAAAACGGATCGCGGTGACGATTAACTGGACTAGCGTCTTAATTTTATTGGGGCAAACGAATTCCATGAATAGATGGGTTCACTTATGGCTCATGTGTTGTGCCGGTTAATTCATCCGGCTTTGGTCGAGTGATGCCTTGTAGCCAGTCGGCTTGCTTTTTCTCTTGCAATCATTTGAAATAAAAATGCCGTTATTTTGCCTCTTCTGAACGCGGGTTTCAAAGTGTGGGTCGTGCAACTAAATCGTTCACTTTCACTGCAGTGTTAAGAAATTTTCACTCGGTGTCAAATGAACAGAACTTTCGGAATATTTAAGTCTACAGGACTAGTTTATTCGGACAGCAATCAACTCAATTCCATCGGTAGGTGACACTAATCAATATGCAGGATTAGAAGGTTTACCTGACCAATTTCGATTCCAGTCGGATTGAATAAACGGGGCATTAGTTAAGCAGTTAGCCATTTAGTAACTGGATCACTTCGAGAAGGGCTTTTGGCCTCGTGTATCTCATCCGGTTCGGCGGGGTTTACATAATTATTCCAGGGATTTCTGTACAGCTCTGGTTTCCAGCAGCCAGATCAATTTAATACCATATTTTAGGTGAATGGTGGTCTCTCGACGATTCCAGTATTGATCGTGCAGCTACCCCGGAGATTGGATTTTGGCGTAGTGGAGCGGATTAGCTCATATGCTGCTACATCCAAATGAAGATTTTCTCCTTCTAACCAATTCGGATTTGCTTTTGAGTTTCGCCTAGCATCCACACTGAAAGTGGTAAACGGGTTCAGAGTTGGTGGAATGTTAGTCGCAAAGATCGGAATTCGGTCCCCGGCGCAGATATCTACTTCCAACAGCTAAAGTCAGATAACGCAGGGGAAGTTCACTGGTATCACCTACGAATTTTATCCGCAGCTGAATGAGTATTGAATAATGAAGCTAGAGATGAAGGCTAAATGCAGTCAGATAAACCCAAATACTCACAGAAATCACAAGATAAATTATCCTATTTGGCGAAGAACCAAATGAGGTAAAAAAAGGTTCTGTAGAACCATTTCTTTCGAAAATCTGCCAACTCACTTTATTATCAGTAGATCACATTCTTGTAATGAGGTATGAAAAGAAGGGACCCATCCTCGGCGTCGGCCAGCTTTTGTGGATAAGGATGTGAGTAACAGGTCGCACGAACTAGACGGTTGTAACCAACAGCATACGCAAGTATGTTTGTTATCGCTGTTCGGAACTCGCGGAACCGTGGTAATTATCGGCACAAAAATAAATAATCGCAAGGACAGACTGAGTTGAAATCCAATATATCTGTTTGTCACTTCACCGTCTAACCGACTGCCAGTGATCCATCCATTCACACTAATATTGCATTGCTTTTTAACTAGTCCCGTATGTGCCACGCACGTGTTTGCACGACAGCCACAACCGTTCCCCACGGTTGTTTGTGTGCGCCCTAGAGCGCTGCACAAATTGTTTGTACGGTAATTTGTGTGCCACGTTTTACTGTTGTCACGACGTGCTAATGAGGGACTGAGGTTAGTCGATGAGGCTGGAAGTTGGAGGGGATTGGGGGAGCGGGCACGTGGAAAATCGGAGGAGACAAAAATGAAGACCAGAAAAAAATATGGTTTAGAAGTACCGAAAACACCCGATTGTTGTATTGTGACATCAACATGCACAACAATGAAGCGCTTTTGTAAACAAGGCGCACAATGCGAACAGCTGGTGTTGGAAGAACAAACTGTCAGCAAAAAAGCGTGGATGACATTTTCTGGGGCCAGAACAGACGACGACTGTAGGCGGCTTCGTTTGCACAACAATTTGCAACCTTTTGTGTGCCCAAATGAACACCTGTCCCGACTTGACACACCTCGGTTCGATCGCTATGCTGTGTTTTCACATTGGTACAAACGCACAGTGAACCAGCATGGGGTGGTGTGGAATTCGTAGACATGCAGCTGTTTTTATATTGTCAAGCTTAAACAGTAATTGTGCCCCGTAAAATTATGGCGATGACAGTATCTTAGCTCGGAGTAGGCTAACCACTGTCTCAAGGGTTGACTGTTTACAGTAGTGGAATTCAGGATACAATTGCGGTGTTTATTGTTTTGTTGTCAAAGGACTGGTCGGGGTCAAGTCAGAAACACTAAAATCCGTTAAGACAGCTGGGACGACAGTCAGTTAACCATCTGGACTCAGAATGCAGAATCATAGTCCCCATTTCGGTAGACCCATGAAGCTTAAGCAAAGGACACGCCCAGAAAGTGACCAGCTGAAGACAGCAACTTACACAACCAGGGGGAATATGAAAGGCACCAACGTTGATCTCGACTGGCTTTGGTGCTTAAAAATCAAGGCCATATTCGGGCGAATGCATGTAGGGGATCGGACAGGAGGGACAATGCAACGGTGTGCTAAAGATTCATAGCAGCACTACGGGTTGTTCAATGGCGTACTGCTACCAAGCACGATAAAACTAGACGTGTACAGACGTGCTACTGCGGTCCTTCCAGGATTAACATACAAACCTAACATGTGGAGCTTACTTATTCCCTCGTAGAAGCTATTCACCACAAAGTAGGTCTTCAGTTCGTAAGAGTAACCCTAAAATCGAAATGGAACAACAATGGCTTTCCAACTGTGGATTTCAAAGACCTTCCAGGGCCTATAGAGAACAACTCAAAAGGTGAAAAATAATCACTGATAGTGAAGAAACATAATAGTTGTCTTACAGCAATGGTTTCAGTATATAGTAGGTTTCAAGCAACGCAGGAGTATACTAACGGTGAGACTAAGAGACAAATGATCCAGTTTCAAGTTGCGCCGAATCGGTTTGTAATCAGTCAAAGTTATTCGGGTGGCATGCACCTTCTGATTGAGCCGTGGTAACTCAAGGAGTCAGCTAACACCACATCATGTAGGGTGAACCGGGTGTCTAGGTGAGAGTTAGTCACAATGCTGATCACCTATTGTTGTTAAAATGGCACAAATTTGAGGTAAACAGGAAGGCTGTGGATTCGATTCTCTCTAGAGTGCTGAAACGATCACTGCTGTTAATTTAAAAAAACGATGGGAAAACTGTGCAGTGACATCAAATGCTGGACGAAATCTCAATTCATTGAGAAGCTGGCGGGTCTGAAGCCAGATAAACCTGACCATAGCAACGCCCGCGATATAAAACAAGACCCTGGTCACTGAACAGCTACGGTTTGGTACAGACTACACGGCAATGACGGAACGATACGAACTTTATTAATTGACGCCCACTTTCTCCCCAGAAATAACAAAATTTTAAGATTTTGGCACCACGCTTATCTCTGTTTTGAAGAAACCGTATATCAGAGTGGACCACCTTGGCTGTTGTCGTAAGGCACACTTAAATAAGGGAGTATTTGGAGGGAGGAAACCGTTTACAAAAGTTCAGCGCGACCTTCTATTGATACATATGCAGAGGGAAGATCAAAAGCGGTTGCGTGTGAAAGCGCTAAGCTCACAGGACTACTCGACTCCAAAAGGTGATAGACATTCATCCACCACACTACGTCATCATTAAAATACAATCGGAAGTTACACAGATACCCCCTGACTCGAAATGCCCTAAACAGTATACCTTTAAAGTGATGAGGCAGAAAAGCAGGGTGTTACTGATTAGAGCCCTCTTGAAGCTGAGTTTCTCAGGATCCGGCCACAGCCCTACTGTAAAGTGGTTTCGAAACCACAGCCCTACTGTAAAGTTTCAGGGTTTCGAAATGTGGATTCTGACGACAATATGACAGAGAATATGGATACCGCTAGTGGATATAATCATGAAACCAACAGCGCTCGAATAGCATCACCCTGGGACATAGACAGTTAAGTTCAGTGAGGATTTCCATACGATGAGTCCCTCAACATAGAGAAAAACGCAATAGTCGGGATGTATGGGAAGCTTCGAAGTGGCGCGATGTAGAAGGCAATCAAACACCATCTGCACGGTTGAGTAACGACTCTAATTTTTATGGGCAATGGGAGGTACGAGTTAGGTGGTGTGGTGATTTGCGTGATCTAGCGCCGTACGACGGCTACTGACTCGAGGAACCCGATGTCTTGCATACCACTGGCAACTTATAGAATTTGAAGGACAGTTAGAGCGTTGGACTTAAGATACGCGGCTTGTCCCAATTTCTGTTTGAAGTAGGTCCCGTGGAGTCAGAAGGGGTTGTGGGACAGCATCCACCATCTGCCCACCGGACGGCAATTTTGTGCTACTGACATTTTTGCCAGTAGCGCAGACCCGGGAGAATATTTTGGTAGTTAAGCAACAAAAGGCCTCGCTGGTGCCGTGAAGGTCGATCGGAGAAACGCGATGTTAGATTACAGTGTTTCATAAACACCAGGTGAATGTGTAGACATAAAAGACGCCACACTGACTGAAGCGACTGAAGGTGTATCAAGCCAAGTGCCCACACTGTGTGGTGATTTGCGTGATCTAGCGCCGTACGACGGCTACTGACTCGAGGAACCCGATGTCTTGCATACCACTGGCAACTTATAGAATTTGAAGGACAGTTAGAGCGTTGGACTTAAGATACGCGGCTTGTCCCAATTTCTGTTTGAAGTAGGTCCCGTGGAGTCAGAAGGGGTTGTGGGACAGCATCCACCATCTGCCCACCGGACGGCAATTTTGTGCTACTGACATTTTTGCCAGTAGCGCAGACCCGGGAGAATATTTTGGTAGTTAAGCAACAAAAGGCCTCGCTGGTGCCGTGAAGGTCGATCGGAGAAACGCGATGTTAGATTACAGTGTTTCATAAACACCAGGTGAATGTGTAGACATAAAAGACGCCACACTGACTGAAGCGACTGAAGGTGTATCAAGCCAAGTTGCCCACACTGTGGTCAAAGACCTGGGCGGTACGTATCTAGAGCAAATAAAGCATGCCCCAAGAGATTACCGAAAAGGGCGAATAGACGGTATCCAAATTTAATGGAGTGAAATGCCGGTGAAGAGATATAAACTTCAATACAATGAGATAAAAAAAGCAACCTCTGAAAATTAGGAATGAGGGTTCGATAGTGCATTCTATCAAATATACAGCTTATGTTAACTCAGCTGAACCGTTCAAAATACAGGGACCGAAGGCATCTTGTGACTTCCATCCACGGTAGAACCGGGAGTCATTGTCGTCGCTTCAACGTCAGCCGGACAAAGACGTTGGATGAAAGCTTCAAAATAATCTATGGACGCCTTCAGTGCAGTTCTCTTATAAGATAGAAGATGACGACCAGACGAACTATCTGCCACAGAAGATTCCACATCCCCAGCACGAGCCTGTTCAACCAGCTGGCTTAGCGTAGGAACATCGACTGGATTAAGCGAAGTGACTTGTTGCGGGTCGAATGGGACGCACACATAACTCGTTTTCGGGTGGATGCAGAAAGGACTTTTTAACAAGTGATTGAGGGCTGAAAAGAGAGTTAAAAATGTGGTTCTCATGAAAGGACGACTGGCAACGAGAGGAATGTATCATGATGAAGGCATCTGACTGCTTGACGGCGTGTAACAAGTAGATGACACCAGTTTACCAAAACCAGTAGCAAGAACCAACCAGGAATCCCCAACAATAGGAATTTGAAACATACTTGCATACTCAGTGAGTCAACAGAAGTCACAGAATTGACGTTCTGTGGCGGATATCACGTAAACTGGATCCACTGTGAAGCCTTAAGGCACTAAAAAGTCACTATTGATAGTCTCTTGTGAAAATGCCTATGTGTCTGGAGGGGCGAGACGTTTTTTTTCGAAAATAGCGCTGATGAGTAGCCAAAACCATAGTTAAAAAAAAAGCGGCTTTGGTTATCATCAAGTGGTGTTAGTCCGAGAGTGAAGTCGTTCGCCAAGTGGTTAGAGTCTAGAAAACCTATCGAAAGGACCATCCACCGTCATTTCTCACAGGCGAAGAGCAGCTCTAACCAGCTGCTACAAATCTCATGACACTGCCTTATGGGTCCTATTTATTATAAGTACATTAAAAAAACTAGCACTGTTGAGTTCCATTCCGCTATCCGGACGCACCATTGAATGTGACCGATGTCATAACTGTCATCCCGCATAGACGCCATTGGCCTGTGAAGTTTCCAGTGGCATGCTTATCACACTGATGGATCGTACAGGTTACCTTATGGAATAATGAGTATTGATAAACCCGGCGTCCCTGAAACCCCGTCCCGCCGACTAGCGAACGGGTTGCTTTTTCTATTACTCGAGTCACACCATACAGCGGTCTGGGACTCCGCTCGTATTGTTGCCGATCCGAGTACTGGTATGATACATCGGTCCTCCAAAGACACGACTGACCAAGGTGACAAGACGATTTATTGTGTGATCACCCACTTAGGAGAGGAACTACACTCTTTTCCTGTGATAGTCGCGTCTATTGGAGGAGAATGGGAGGTAAAGTATGTCCGCGTGCGATACGTGCCGGTCACAGGTAAGACACAGTCCTCAAGGAACACGTTATAGTGATGTAAGGAAACCAACGAGTGGAAGCTTAAGGTTTAAACTGAAGACCCAACCGTTCGGAGGAAATTTTAACGCATTTGATGATGGAAAAGCTCTAGAAATATCCCAAATGATAGGGATTGGCACGGGATCGAGTCCAGAGACGTCCTTGGTGCTGTGATGTAGCATGATCAGTCAACGAAAATACGTCCAAAGCTATATCCAGGCCTTACTAGAGCATATATATAGATTTCTTCAAACATTACAGAATTAATGAAACACGTACAGGTGGATACGTTCGCATCCAGGCGTGGGTAAGTGTAGTTCAAAACTAATTCCTTCAAGACATTGTTTCGTTTGTGCTCTTTCAAAAAAGTTCGTAGTGTGTTCCAACGTTTCAGTGAAACCTCCTCCATGCCGTTTGATGGATGCTCAAGCCAATCTTCAGCCATGTGGCTTCGTAATTCTTCCAGGTCTTCTGGAAGGTAAGACAAAAGCTTTTTGAGCCGTGCAGGCACACCAAACAAGTCTTGCCCCCGCTTTGTACTACAGTATTCCGCGAATCGAGGCAACAGAATGTCACAGGCGGCGTCTACACATGGGTGCAGTACGGGTTCTGGTGCGCCAATTCCTCTTGACTCGTACTTGGTTAGGCCACCTGCAGTTAGGATAGGCTGAAACGGAAGTGGAGAGTGAAGAGCGGAAAGGCCAGCACATAGTAAGATGACAGCAAAATGGGGACCGAATGGAAAGCAACAGCAACGACCATATATGATTGAGATGTACAGAGAAATTTTCACAACTGTGAGAACAAGAAAGAGTCCAAACTAATTTGAAACACAGGTAGGAACCAGAGATGGAGATACTTTCAACACCATACTATGTTGTGATACCTACTAAGTAGCTTGGTCAAATTCTTATTTTAAGGGGCGATGAAGAGCGAACAATGGAGAGTTGCATGCTTCATAACACAAAACCTTAGTTTACTTGGCGATCTAAAGAGCCATACGGGTAAAGAGGTTACCAATCGGAACCTATGAGCAATGACTTGAAACTAGTTGAAATTTAAGCTTTCCCAAAGAAGTCAGCAAGCGATGAGTTTATCTATCATCGGGCAACCTCTCGGTCTTCCATAAAGGCTTCGCCGGACCGAAAAAGCAGACATGCAGTAATTTTTCAGATTGATCGACTTTTAGACCCCACCTATTGATCGGACAAGTCGATTTTTCACACATGAATTCCAGTCTCATAACTATGTGGGTTTCGGGACACGGGACGGTGGGTATCATGATTGAAGTGACAATCGAGGGAACCATTATTCATTGAGAATGTAGGGCGAAAAAAAGTGAGGACAGTCGAGAATCCGTCAATTCGACGCTTGGCGATGCGAGTAAACAAGATAAAAGGAACCGTCAACAGAAGTGCTCTGGATTCGAAGTACAAAGCCCAACCAGACAAAAAAATTACGTTACCTTCCCCAAATACATCCCAACCAAATTACTGTAACGCTGACTAACTTACACTAAATCCGAGTCAATGAGTAAGTGTTCTGAACATGAAGAACAAGATCCAGTGCCCTATGGATTTCCCCCAAACATATCAGTCGTAACGCAGTAATCAAAACCAATTAACGAAAACTGTTAGCTGACGTGCAACTCTACGCTGATTCGCTGTGAGAAAGTGATTTTGCTGACCAGTTCTCTGTCCGTGTACAGTTCGACTAACTTTCTCAACCAATAAAGTGACTCAAGGGCTTCTGGGTGAAAAGTGAACCGCTACTCACTAATAAGTCGGCAATGGACAGGAGTTTCCATAATTGTTTGAATGCAACTGCACACTACACATTTGATAAGCATCAAATGAGTTTGATAAACCAGACTGGGGAAACCATCACGTACCCAGAATAATATGCTGAAACAGGTTCTCTGTCTATATCCGGGTGTCGGGCTGTCTGATGCGAACAGCTTTCTCAACAGAAAGGTAACTCTCGAAACAAAGTAATCAACATATTCTCATACTCAGAAAAACTTCAGACCACGATATCGTCCACCGGTTTTCCAACTGGGACTGAAATCTATCGTTGGCCAACAACGTGGAAATAGACAAATACGTAGATCCGACAGGTTCACTCGTGACAGACGTGGGTAGACCTCACGAGACTTCATCCTACTGAGGTATTTAAAGCTTCGCACTCTGCTGGAGCAACATTCGGATCTCATGGTCCACGACAGTCCGCGCGCGTACTTCCTCCGGTTCCAGTGACCAGAGACAGTGAAAATGGACAGGCCTCATTGTGGACAGAACAGGGGGTGTAGGAGCAAACGTGTGGAGAGTACTAATAGATGGCGCAAGGCAGTTATGGGCTACTAAGATCCATCAACAGTGGACTAAGCCTAACCGAATCTCAACTGAGGTAATCTTTTCTCCAGAACATGGGCGTACGCCGGCCACCACTACATGAAGATGAATGCTCATAATTTAAGCCCAGTATTCGAGGTCAAAGAATCGAAGAATATGTCGCTTGATAATTTTGTTGGCTATGTTTGGGTCCATAATGTCATGTGGAAAGGTGCACCGATGCGCTGCGATGAGGTGCAGAAGAGCTCGAACTGAGGATCAATTTAGGTACATTTTGGACAAGTCCTGGTGTACATCAAGGATAACACCTTAAAGTCACATACTGTCTCAGACAGGATGACAGCAGACATTCGGCGGGACGGTTTCGTAAGGAGCATACTGTGATGGAAGGGCTGGTAATAGCCTACCGCAAAGGCCTAGCCGGGGAAGCTGAAATGAAAATGATAACTTGTGCGTCCGAAGATTTGAAGACGCCTTAGGCCTATGTATCACGACCAACGATCTGCATTCCGGTCTGGTGAAGGGTTTCCTGGGACTAGTGATGTCCACTTGACGACATAGCTACCGCAAGTTTGCTAAAACATCTCGGCTTTGAAATATGAGCACCGTATGGGGTTATTATAGCAACTGGAGCACGCAAAATGAGCCATAAACTCTGGTACCCAAATTAAGCGGCAGACGTATTGAAATGAAATACTAAAGAATGTCATGACGCTTGCCAGTTTATCGAAAACTGCATGCGCTTTTATTTCATTATTTTCTGTATTCTCCAGTTCAGCATCATCATCATCAAAGACAGCAACATCAGTGTTGCCACTGATGCTTCACTGCCGTCACGAAGAGACTGGACCTTACCGTGGTGTGGCGGTTTGTGTACCTCGGAGACCCATTGAGCTATACTGGGGGGTGTCCGCGCGACACTCACAGAGTCTCTCATACCAGGTTGGTCAATGGTTAGAGGTCTGACGAACACAGTCTCCTGGTCCTCCAGGTTGGGGGTTGGAACATGTATGGCGACTTGTTCCGTAGAAAGGGTAATGCATTTGCATTTCCCGACAAACACCGCTGCCTTGTGGTTAGGCTTTTGAGCCAAAGGCTTTGGTTGAGGACCCTAATCGTCCTCCTGTCTAGGTGTGGGCGCCCTGGCAGTATCCCAGCCCTCGTACAACCATGACCTACACTAACAATATTCTCATGCCACATCGGCCGTCGCGTGGTGCCATCAGCCGGGTCGCCTTACTTGCTGCATACAGCAGGGCGGGTAAGCGAAAACATGCTACTGCCGACGCCTCCCTTCTTACACTTTCACCAGTTCAGCAAGGTGCTCACTAGTTTGTTGGTCAACTTTAAACAAGCCACCAAAGATGCAGGTTAACAGTACACGACCAGTTACAGGGGTTGTGTAATTTACACTTATTCCCACCTTTGCAAATACCTAGTTCTAGAGAGTGACGATGATCCACTCTGAGTGACAAGCTGCTACATTGCTGATCTGATAGAATACGCTTACATTTGCTTATGCTTACGTTTGCAAAAATTCTGGAAGACTGTAAGCCTTAAGTAGAAGCAGGGACATAGGTAATCGCGAAGGAAGTCAAACCAGCTGTGGTCAGAACGATGATACACTGGAATAACATACCTTACGGGAATTGCCGCCACGAACCAAAGTCAAGTACTCGACGATGGCAGTTCGCGCCACCGTATCCAACTTCCGCGCAGCAGGATCACACACCCAGCAATGTACCCCTCGACGGCCGGAATAAACCCAGAGTAAGTGTTCGAAGCCAAAGTCTTCTCTGAGAGCACGATCTACACATAATACAGCAGACTGTGCTAATAACCAGCAACGACTGCACACAGCGGATTTTGCATTTTCACTCTGCTCACCACAACAGTAGCGAACCTCGTCATAATCGGTCAAATCAATATCGAACACAAGCTCCTTCCATTCAGGCTGACGGTGAAGAAAAGTAAGAAGTGTATCAAAAAGTGGTAACCAGAACCACAGTGTCGCTATCCCTGTCAGTAAAGAAAGGTCGAAATAAAATGTGGTCATCTAAAGGTCCATAAAATACTGTGAAGCTATGTTGATCACTGAAGCAGGAGTAACAAGTGCCCTTCAAAATGCAGGCACGATCAGCTGAATCGCCATCAGCCAAATTAAACGCAATGCTCCATAAAGATGTATCATCCAAGACATGAAAAGAAAGCTTGAAACATAGGGGACCTCCATAGCCAGGTGCACATTCAACCTCAAGAACAAACTTCAAAATCTGTGGAACTGGGGATAGAACTGGGATGACTACCTAACTTCTTCGACACCACAGTGAAATGTAGTAACCGGCAGTAATAAAACCGCGATAAGAGCACATCTAATAGCGTGAAGACAAAATAGTGCTACATGTGTGCAATGACACACCATTAATGTCAGTATGTTTAGCCTGTACAAGTGCGCAGCATTTGGTGGGTTTCCTTTACAATACCAATTTCAAGAACAGCATCGTAACCACCATCCAACCAACTTCAAATCCAAACAGACCACATCACCATTAGTTACTGGTGCTAAGGGCCGACCACTGACTGTCACTTCTGGAATACTTGTGTGGAACCAGACCACGGCGTCGAAGCATCAGTGTCAACAATGATGTTGCTGTCTTTGATGAGGATGATGACTCCGACAATGCACCTGACCGTTGCTGCTTCTTACTACGCATTTTAAGTAAACGCAAGACGCACACACCTCACTTAGCTATTAAGAAGCTGCTGAGCTCAGAGTTGATTCTAACTTTGGTCGAATGGTCTGCTGTTGGGTGTTAACAGCCACTGGAGAAAGAAAGAACCCAATGCCAAAGGCTCTGTCGGCGTTATAACCCAACCAACATCATCCAAACATTGGATATCTCATAAGCTTCGCTAGAGGCCCGGCGGCAAAGTTATCCTAGCAACAAACACTACTCAACTCCACGCATCATCCGATGCCAGGTAAAACGGTGCCCATGCATATCGGGAACTTTGATGGAACTAAAAGGCCGAAGGAATGGAATGCAGAATATGCCGGGAACGTCCACAAGCTGTTCTAATTGAATCCTCCGATTGGTCCCTCGAAGCCCTTGTTAGAGAAACAATAAAGGACCTAAAAGGCACTGACATCCAGCAAACGAGCACGTTTTACCGTTAGGCATAGCATCCTGAAAAACCATTCAGTTGGCTAATTTCCACCTTCACTCTCGATCAGGAAGCTGGACTGTGAATAAGGAACCTACATCAGCCTTATAAAGGACCGGGTGTATATCTGTACTGAAGTGCCATCGTGCTTCTGGTTCTGACAAATTTCCACTCGCTTTGTTCAAGGACGGCGGTGAATTCTTCAGCCAACGACTGGCTTGCCTATTTGTTTGTATCTGCGAGAAAGAGGCAGTCCCGGACAATTGGGGGCGTGTTGATAATAGTTCCCATCTTTGAAAAGAGTACTCGAAGTTAATGTAGTGACTACTGGGGTTCGACTCCCCTTGTAACAGGCCTTATGGCGTCACTGATTCTCCACCATCTTGGATGAGTAGCTGCATATAGGAGGCGGGAGCTGACATAATTGATGGTCGAGTACAGGATTATCAGTGGAGTTCTAAGTGGGGAGATTATGAAAGGAGCTATGTATTGAAGGTAATAGCTCGACCGCCATCGAGGGCATGACTCGGCCATACCTGACAATGTCAAGCCATTGGTGTGTTACGTCTCGGGGTCCGCATCCAGGCAGACGGCAATGACCAGTGCAGGTGAGTTTGTCGGCAAAGGTTTTCATACTTAGTTGCCAAGTCGTTGTTTGACCTCCCCTGGCTCACTTCCACCTTTCGCGTGGTTGTGCGAAAAGTCCTTCGAGGAAGTCGGTCGGAACACGTGGCCAAACCAGTGTAACCTATGGAGTGTGATCAGTTCGTCTATCGTGGGTGAGTTTTTTGCTTCCGAAAACCATTGGACGTACTTCAGCACTACTGATCCAGTGTTCCCAATACACTCAGGCAATGCTCCGAAGACATCAATGGTCAAACACTGAGTCTTTTGACGTCCTCGGCGCGCAGCGACAAGGTTTCTGATTCGTATAGTAATATAAGGAACACATAGCAACGTTGCAAACTCGACCATTGACGGATAAACTGATGTTACGCCTATGCCCCAAGTGATGCAGGTCCAAAAACGCTGCTTTGGTCTTCCCAAACCAGGTGGAAATATCATCTTAAACGAGGCCACTGAGAATGATACAGCTGCCCAGGTAGACAAATTCGTCTGCTGCCTCAATCGGCTTGTCCGAAAGCATAAGGTTAGGGTTGGAGCCCACCCAGTCTTGCAGTAGCACTTTACATTTTACAGATATGAAACGAGTGTCAAACTGAGGCAGAATCACTAGATTATTTAAAATTTGTATGACTTGGTAGGAGATTAAGAGTTTGGATGTTTCCGGTGTTGTATGCCTTTTGTGGTGGGGTCTCTTACCCACACTGTGCTTGAATGGATATATTGCAAGAAATGGCATCACTGGCGTTCGCGTTAACAGTTTCTTTCTAGACTGCCTGATTGAGCGCTTGAATGTGCAAGCAAGTCGGAATGCTTGGCATAGATCAGCACTAGGTCTTCTCCTTCACCCACCCTTCCGTTCATTTCACTGTAAGGCTTTAAACGTAAGTAGATGAACTTTATAACTGTATGGCAGTGAACCATCAGCGTCAACACTGATATCGTTGCCTCTGATGATAACAACACCCAAACTCTTGGTAATCTTTTTCACACCCTTGTGCCAAGTCATACGTTGTTCACTTCGTGGATTGCGCCACTATGAAGGGGGCACGGAAAATAAAAATAATCTCGAAAGACGGGGCTTTGGCATACGTAGCCACTGCAGTTTGTAGCACTGGATGTAGACCACCATCATGCCCTTTGTGTGGGGCAGCCAGTAGCCTGTAACCACAGTAGAAGCTAAAAGTGTGTAGACTTTTGGAACCATAAACCCCAAATACTACCACCCAGGAGCGAACCGTGCAAGCGAGCTGTCTAGCCTGTGTCATTACTCAACCGCAACTAATCTGTTTTCACTCTGCCCTGCTGCAAGCAGACACAACTACGCTAACAATGCTACGTGCTTGCACGGAGGCCATACCTCAGGAAAGACACCAACTAAAAAAGTCCAGTGAATTAGAATGACAATGCCATGAGGGATTCATGGTTTGTCTTATGAGGAAAAAGGGACTGTGAAGATGTAATCTCCAGGAGACGGTTCATACGGAATTTAATAGCTGCCCGAAGGCTTCTACGATGTATTCCAGACTTCCTCATATTCGACTGAGAATGGGCTGTTCAGATTACTCTCTTGAAGCAGAGTGAAGCAGAGTGCGAAACCCAATAATAGGGTGATGAAAGTCGTTGCAGCATGTACCACAGAAAGTCAGTCAGTCACGGTGAGCTTACAAGAGCCGTCTCGATGCAGAACAAAGAAGACCGCGCCCAAATATTATCTTGGGATAACACGCGTTATTTGAATTTGGCGATTGTTTTCACTTCCGTAATACTAGACTCGCTGCCGTTTTTATGCACCTTTTGACTTCGGTAGTATACATCATACGTCATCATGCTCAAACGGTGTTCTTACCGATGGTTTTGGTTAAGACTGGTCAGTAGATGTGATCAACGGAACCACACTCCCAGACCTTAGAGAGCCAGATGCGATTAGGAATCGATGACTTCCCTATCAAGCGATACCGTTAATCGCTCTGGCGGTAAACGGCACTAAAAAATGAATATCACCATTACAACTTTTCGATTTTACATGTTCGTGACCTATGAATAGTTCATGAAAGGCATTGTGGGATTTTATTAACAAATATAATTTTACTTTGGTTTATGTGCATTGCAAGTGTTTTTCAGCTGCACTCCGCCTTTTCCTAAGGTGTGACCTTTTGCCTAAATATAATCCCCGGCGACTTACATGGTTTCTACATGCATGTGATGTGAGTGTTGCTGACAGAAATCAGTGATGCCTAATGCGCCATCCAGCGACTATGCGTAACTATACAGTGGCCAATGAGGTATTTATTGTGCAGGTCCGATTTGTATGGGACGAACCAACAAGAGACTGCTAATAAGGTTGTGGTAATACCATCGTCCCTAAGAAATGCTATATAAGTAACACAAAGATAACGGAACAGGAAATTTTACAGGTTTCTCACGTTGTGAAAAATACTCACCTTAAATGAGGAAGGTAATATTGCCCGATGTTTCTTGGGCGCTGTGGAGTATACGGCGCCGATATCGATTTTGTGCGGACAGAGTTTAACTAATTCTTTGCGGAATTCCGACGAGGTCTCAAAACTTTGATACCTCAAATAAACATCGCCCGCAAGTGTGAAACTAAACTCCCGCCTGGCCAGCTAAAAGAATTATTGTCTGAACAGAGTATTACATCATTCATTCCATATGAAAGCCATTGGCAAAACAACTCGCAAGGAAACAGTTTCTTGTAATAAAACTTGAGCAAATCATCCGAGAACTCCCCGTCAGGCATCGGTCCTCAGTTCAATTTACCGCACTCTCTCAACGACAATGTGAAGGCCACAGAGATATCTGCTATTCAGTTCTGTTCAGAAGTTAAAAATGTTTCATATCTATTAAGTAGAGCTAGCACTTTCCGCTTATCTATCAGAAATGCTTTGGATATCTTAATTTACACGGGTGTCTGTGGGTTGAATGACTGGACATCGGGAATTAGTTCCGAGGGCGCGTGATTTTCTGAATTCTAATAATCGCATTTCGCTGTATTCACACAATGGAATTGAAATTTTGAAAGTTATGACGCGTCCCTGAAGGGCTAAAGCAATTGCGCAATTGAGTTGAGAGTACCAGTACAAACGTATAAGCCCCGTTTAGGCATCCCGGGGTCTTAGTGATGCTGAGAAATTGTCCCGCCAGTCTCTTCAGACAGAGGCATGGTTGACTCGGTGAATAGTGAAATTTGGTGAGCTACAAAAATATGGAAGTAGATTAGGACAGTTTTTGACTTTAGTACATACGCGACAAAATGCAACATTTTGGAGGAGAAGTTTTATTCGACTTGTAAATGTTTTGCAGCTGACAGCATTGTGCGGATGATGTGCACCCATTTCGTGTGACCATTTCCGGCACATGCAATTCTTTCCCAAATCCTTTTGGGTGTAAACGGAAATTTTGCGTTGAAGTGTACTGAAATCAAAAAGCCTAATAACCTACCGTTGTTGGAATTTTTCATTCGTAATTTTTGCGCGCACTCTGATTTAGAGTTGCGCCCCCATTACTCAGGGCCACGTCATAGTCCCACCTCATGAATTTCTCACAAATCGTGCTTCAGAAAATGGGAAAATTTTCACATAAAGTTTTAGCATTTGATGGTAGTTATTCGGGCGCTCAATATCTCCGCACATGGCCATAGGTTTATTGTAAGTTGTTTAAACGAACTCGGGATCCACTGTGGGTGCGGAATTGGTATTTTAATGGCTGCCGGTGGCGTCGTCCATTGTCTCTAAGGCAACAGTGGGGAGTTTTTTGGAAAAACTGGTTTCTTTGCGTGCTTTCTTACGTACTAGATTTCGAAATAACCCAAAAACGACTCACTAATTAATGGCGTTCAATAGGTCCACGCAAACTCAAATTGGAGCGGACGTTCACAACCTGGTGAAAAAATCTTCTATGGCTGCGACAAGTGTCCCGCTGAAGCTAAGGAATTTGTCACAGTTAGTAAGTTTTTGTTTTTATGATGGTCAAAATACGTCATACATGGCTTAAGACAAGGTTTGATTTCAAGTCCTTGCACACATTCAACGGACTGAAGCGGTCATCTGGGTAACACGCTTGTCTGGGAAATATTAGAGGTATAGTGTACTACGGGCAAGCAATGAGACTGGGTATGGTAGTCGTGGTACTGTCATAGCGACGCCGTAATTCGGTTCGTGGATAGCTCCGTGCATGAACATCTTCGATGAGCTGTTTAAGATTGACATTGTAGCTAGGATATTCTTGGGTCCATCGAGTGTTTGCAATGGCTCGTTGCTGCCATTCAAAGGGGACAATAAGACGGCCTTGTCTACACTGGGGGCTCAAAATAGGAAAAAGCGTCCAAAAGGCTTGCTAGAGAGCACTTTCATGTGAGTTAAAATGTCTCTTTGCGCACACAAAATGTCGAGTCATCATGACAATTTTTATTGCCAACAGGTGGTTGGCATACCGTCAGGCATGATCATAAGTTCAGTTAGAATAAAGGGTGAGTTCGCTTGTAGTTGCGGGTAGTGGAACAAGTGGGCGATAGGGTGCAGCCAAGAGAAGTAGAGGCATAGTTGTGAATGTGCCATCAAACTGGGTATAGCAGTGCGATGCCATTATTGCACTGAAATAATTCAGTTTCTTGAGAGTCCTGTAACGAACGTCATTTCTGAGACGATTTTGCTTGGATGTGCTATTCTGCGAGGAGGGGTATTTTTGGTTGGCCGAGGAAATCCTTAGATTTAGAGCAAGGCCTATATAAGATCCCAGGTATTTTGTCGCTCCCGTTGGAGAGGTAGTAAGGTGCAGCATTTGATATATATTTGAAGTTGTATCAGTGTTGATTTTAGTGTAACAGATGAGGTCAACATCCGAACTTGCAATGCTCGCGAGGCATTTGCCAACTTGAGACACTTATGGCGTCAAGGTGGCGTGTCCGTGAACACCAAGTAACGTGTGTATCAGGCTGCAGTGTGGGCTGTTCCGTTGTACGGCTCTGAGACCTGGCCTATTTGAGAAGCGGGACCAAGGCGTTTTCAGGTGATTGGCGATGGGTTTACCAAAACTAAAACTCGTGTGGGTCGGTGTCGGTGAATCCCTGAGTTGACAGTTACATGGCGATTTTTCGGTTGTGCATCACTTTCGCATGAACGAAGAGATGGATGAAGCCCAGAAGGGTGCCCCCCTGTTGGTTAGATTGCTAATGTAGTTGGGTATGTGATGGTTACGAGTTTCGATGAGGAGGACCAAGTTGTCGATTTTTATTAAGCTACATTGTATCGGTATCGGAGAGCGGAGATCGAGTGAAGTTGGGATTTCGTGGTCCAAGCGAGCGGATTTAACACCAAGCACCCGCCCACTCACTAGATCTTCGCTACTGCTGCATCCATGGATGCACGTTTAAGGACGCGAGTGGCCCTTGGATCTCGGGGCTCAAGCCTACACCAGTTGGTCTTACGATTGACAAGTCAACGCCTCTCGTGATCTTTAATTTTGCTGCACCCTAGGGCGCATATGTTTGCCGAATTCCGCTATCGAATCATCAACGTTCACTCGGCTCACTCGTTATCGCCTATTGGAATAATCCAGGAAGTAGTGAGTTTGTATCTATAACAGCAAGCCTCCGGCCTCAGCGCGGACACCGACCGGGAATTGCGGACAAGAGGTTTGTTACGCAATTGATGGGTTGGCCACTGCAACTTTGTTTTATTATTTCTTTTAATTGATACCGCAGAAACCCTGCCGAATAAAAATGTGAAAAGTTAATTGACCACACATTGTGTTTATAACGATGCAACCAGTAAAGAGAAACATGATTTGTTGAAGGTGGTTGTGAACTTTTTATGCATGGAGTTGGCAGGTGGATGGCGTATGGATATGAAGGACCGCTGTATGTCGTTGGATTATTCCACTGCGTGTTGCTACGAGCAAGTGCACTAGCCCGGAAGCTACTATAATTAGCCTCAGCAGTTGACATCGATATAGTTATAAATATGACGGGCCGCCGTTGGTCGTAAGATTTAGATATCACGCATAGTTGGAGCCTCGTTCTTATGGGCCTGCATAGTCACTGGCCTGATGTTTACTATAGATAGCAGACACAAGCGACAGCGCGCACAGTTGTGGGTAATGACGGGTCATCTTCGGTAGTTAAATTAGGACACTGGGCACAGTTCGGTCTAATAATCCGCGTCGCCTGGCGGTTTCAAAAGTAGTCAACTTAGGTGATATCGCATAGAGTTGAGTATGAGGTCCGTCGTTCGCCACTAGATTAGGTATGTGTGCACAGTTTGGGCCTCGTATTCATCGGTTCGCATAAGTACTGTTCCGGTGTCTATTATAAGTAGCAAAGATAAGCGACAACGCGTACATTTAAGAATACAACAGGTTAGTTTGGATCAGGTTACCGGTTAATCAAGGCCGCACATGAACACGGTACTAGCAGGTACAGTAAGTAGCCAGGTGAGACGACATCGAGTACAGCAAGGAGTATGACGGGCCATCAGATTAGGCTATCTCACGCACAGTTGTGGCTTCATTTTTACCGGCCTGCAAGGATAATGGCCTGGTATTTATCGTAGGTAGCATAGATGAGTGGCATCACGTATAGTGATTGGTATGAAACACGTGGTTAGTCATTGGACTGTTACTATTCATAGGTGAGGTCCCATAATCAGCGTCGCACATAGACGCGGGCCTAGCAGTTACAATAAGTATTCGATGTTCATGATGACACTTGGAGTATAAGGGACCGTCGCTGGTCATTGGATTAGGCTGTCATGCGTAGGTGAGGCCCCATAATCTGCGTCGTACATAGACACGGACCCAGCAGTCACGATAAGTAGTCGAGGTGAGTGATAACGGCTACCGTTATTATGGCGACGCTTTATGGCAAATACAAAGCTTCATATTCGTAATAGAATTGATACCCGAAGCTATCCTGTGACGCTGTATCATCCATAGTCTAGTTATGCATATCTGGGTAAGGGAGTCATCAACAGAGATGACCCTCGTATCGTTACTGCGCCGTTCATGGTAGTGCCTAAGACTGTTGTACTTAATGGAATTTGGGCTCATGGGGAGATGCGTTGTGACCAGTTTCCCGAACAAAATATATTTTGCGATTATGATCGCATTTGTTAAATCTGAGGTGTGTGAAACAAACAAAAGTCCACAACCGGTCTTCCAGGGTGAAGTTTGCATAAGATATACTTTAAATGTTTTTTACTATTTAAAGAACACCGAAGAACGCAGAAATATGCTAAAGTGCGATTTTGTGTTTTATGTCACGTAAACCGGTGAAAACTGCAAATGGTTGGATGTCCGTGACCTTGAAGTTTCGCTCACTTAAAAAATGCTGTAAGCGAAATATCACCAAAAGGTGCAAATGGATTATACTTACTCGCCGTTGGAGTCATAACTTCGAAAACCCTATAGTTTCGGTGAAAATAATTTGGGTGTGCAAATAGCCAGCGGCCAGGCAAGCTGCATCCTAATCCGTAGATTGTAGGACGCGTGGTCAGTTACAACTTCACTGGGAACAATTTCGTGGTATTATAACATCCGGAGGATTTTTTATACACCCAAGAGAATGAGACAGTTTGAGTGAACAGAGAATGTTCATGCGGTAGTGAAATTA